ACTTTTTGAAACATATTATATCTAATTTTAAGAATTAATTTTCATAAACATGAAGCTTTATAATGTTAATCAAATTTATGTAGTTAAATTGTATTCTTGTTTAATTTGTGTTGTGAATGGAGAAGTATATTTTTTATATTAATAATTAATCAAATAAAAAAATGCGTCAATGACATGTCGTGTACTACGTTTTTTAATTGTGTCGTGTTCGTATTGTGTCATGTCGTATACGTCTCTGAGCTTCACAGGCGGAAGGGAATAGGAGGATGACAATCACCACCTCGGGAGAGAAATACAGCCTGAGTATCACCCAATCCCTCAGATACTGCCCTCGAAGCAGAGAACAGATGTTGACGGTTGTCTTAACAGAAATCTAATATCTGAAATTAATCAAAAACTAACCCAAAGCAAGCAAAACAACAACTGTCATCCTTTGAGCGGCAACTAGAAATAAAGGAGGCAGAAGCGACATATAGGAAAATAGGGAAGCTTTGGAAGGTACTTTCTGCCCCTTTGGAGGGGGAGACGGGCTGGTCCACCCTTCTGCTGGACTAGAATACTCCAGGATGAACCAATTGGTCGGGACAGCCTTTCCCTCAAGCCCCGCGCTCCCCCAAGCCCTACGTCAGCTCCCGAGGTTGGGGGAGATGACTTCATATGTCGAAGCTTTTAGTTCATTGTTTATGGTCGTAACAGTACCTGGATCCCATTGTCGAGTGCACTGCTCCCAAAGCATCAGAAGAGCCTTCTCCACTTGTGAGCATACATGCATATTGATCCGCTCTATTGGAAACCCACTGCTAAACTGAATTGAGTCTGCATGTCTCGCCTATGTTGTTGAATAATCTCGACTTAATCCACAGCGGTTGAACTTGATTTGAGGTGAGGGTAGCCTGAACCTCTCCGAACGGTGGCGGGCATGGTGGTAATGTGTCGATCGTGATATCTTGAAATACCCTCTATCATGCATGTCTCATGTCTGGAGTTGGTATCTTAGTCCTATCACCTCCTGTCATCACCAAAACGGGTCTCATCGATGTTGCTTTGCTAACAAGGGCGCCTGTGATCTTGTGCTCCACCTAAGAGACAAAGACTATGCATTTTCTATCCTTGGTGACGGAATATGTATTTCTAAATCCGTTGTGTTGAGTTCTTAGGTTAAAGTACCCAGTTCTAGGCTCATTAAAACTCTAAAAGGGTTGTGCTTGCTAGCTAAATAAACCACTTGTCCTTTTGATATACTAGTAATAGTGATGGCGTGCTTCCACCTTGAATACGGTAATGTTACTCCATAATCTTAGCTAAAGATATAAATTGAAATACAATAACATTATCCTTGTTGTTTTGTGGTTCTAAAGTTAGTAGATTCATAAAAGCACAATAATTGTGAAATCTTAATTTGATTAATGTGACAAAGACTAGTACATTTTAATTATAGGAAATTTACATACATACTACATAATGCTTATGTATTTACATATCTAAAACGTAAACTTCATATTTACATTTATAACACTTTGGTTCGTAAATTTATGCATGGGTGCATTTCACATCTAAAACAGTAGTAATCGTGATATTTTTTTGTGTTGGTAAGATTTTAGTGATATGCATGTAAATATGGAAGTTTAGTTGTTAGATATGTAAAAACCTAAGAATTATGTGGTTTGCATGTAAGTGCCCCTTTCATTATTTGTGTGACTTTATATTTTCTTGAATCCACTACCAATGTGCAAAGGACACATGTTCTTAAAATCTGACAATCGAAGGCCCATATCACTTCATCCTAGAGCTTTTTAGTAATAAATTCTTGTTTCAATATTCAATCTGCAGGCAATGTGCAACCCTATGAATTCATTCTTCCACCAAGTTGGAAACAGACAAGAGTTGCCAACATACTTTCAGGAAATTATTGCCAACCCAAATGTGCTGAACCATGGGTGGAAGTGAAATTTGAAGATGAAAAGCAAGGCAAAGTTCAGGTGGTCGCTTCGCCTTTAATACGCCTAACAAACAAACCTAATGCAACTATTGATGATATTGGAAGCCCTGAGAAGGTGATTGCTTCTCTTGGCCCATTTGTGACGGGTAATACATATGACTCTGATGAACTCATTGAAACGTCAATTGAGAAGCATGGCAATCAAACGGTATGCCTTACTAATATTGCATTTATTTTGATTTATCGTTTGCTTATATTCACTATTATGCATACTTTTAAATGATTTTTCTTCAGAACATTCACTGCAAATAATTCTATGAAAATGACTAGGTGGATTTAGCATTGAATTTTGTGCTTGTTCACTTTCATTACTAATTGGATTCAAGCATCTACCTATAATCCACATGCTGTCCATGACTGTGATGCATAATTTCTGAGAGATCCTGACAAGTCTAGAATTTACTCCTTGCTACCTTCTATCCAATTTGGCTATTCCGACCGTTGTTAGTTATTACTCGACCAAAGTTTTAGGTTCACTGGATGTCATTCTTTGATTTGATTGTGATAACCATTTGCCACTTCATCTATTATGTCAAGATGTCAATTTCGCTACTTCAACAACCACTTTTCAACATGATGCTCATACGTGTTGACCACAATGCCATCTCTAGAGCTGGAAAGTCTACTATTTCTTTTACTATTTTTTAAGATAGGCTTTATTGACTATTGCATCAAGGAAGAAAATTTGTGACCGTGGGAGAAGTTGTGGATTTGTGTGGGAGGAAACTTTAAATCTAGCAGTGTAATTGTTGCACCTCGGTAATAGATGAAGGTTTTCACTGAAGCCACTTATATTCTAGTGTTCTTTTTTTTTTTTTGGTGCTTATCTGGCTCTGCATAACGCCTCATTCATCAATTGAGTAAACAGATCCAAAGGCCTTTTTTTTCATCACAATTATATTTTCATATTCTCTTATTTGAATTGGGGAGGAGGTGCAAAGCCATCTCAACCATTCTCAGCTCAGTGCCAGTTCTCCTTATTAACTTGGTGCTCTCATTGAGATGCTTCAGAGCAACCGAAATGGGGAATTATTGCCGATCATTACCTTTGCACTAAACAACGGTGACAACAGTGCCTCCTCACAATAGAACACGTTGATGACGATCCTGGTATAGTTTCAAAAGTTGTCTGGCATAAACATTTTGCCTCAAATAAACTTTGAACAGTCAACTAAAAATCCCTCCTTTTGATCATTATAAGGGCTTAACAAGACTGTTGATCTCCTGAGAAGCCTCGACGATGATATGTTTTTGGCCTTGGTTATGGGAAATCTTATTGTTAGATTTTTGCCAACAGCCTAAATGACATTAAACGAAGACGGTTTTGGAAGCTTTCAATCTCATAATGACCTCCTTTGGTGGTTTGCATCGTCAATTCATGGCGAAGCTCATTGCCTTCTAGCTTTCATTGAAGTTCGCCTAAACTCTCTTGAGAATTCGGCATGGAGAGAGGTTGCCTCTTAGAGATGGTAAAAATTTCTTTCACTATGGGCAAGTGGCTTTATTTTTAAGCATTAGCCAACTTCAGAATAAATAATGGAGCAGGTATCATGGTTTACAAGTGAAGGGGAGTGTTTCTCCTGCGATCTGTTGAGAGAGGCTTTAAGCCAACAAGCCCTTTTTCTGCTTCTATAATAGAGGTGAACATAATAAATATGATTACCATTATCAACCCTTGTGCCTAGAGTTTTTCTAGTGGCAGCCACATGATTGAGAGCACTGGCGTGATCACAACATTATCTTGTGAGGTCACAATGCATTGAGCTAAAACCATTTATTGGAGGAACTCAATATGAGGTGAAGCTTTTTATGTCGATACAGGGAAAATTTTGTTTCTGGTGGCTACTGTCGCTTCGTTATAACACTAAGCACCATGAAAACACTTGAAGTTGCCTGTATCACAATGAGAATAGGCATGATATGAAGGATTATCAAGTCATAAATGCATTGCTATAGAACTCCTTGAAGTGCATCTAAAGCAATTCTGCCTGTCGCGCGAACGCCGCAAACCTTCGCTGAATGCCGCGAACCCTCGCCTAACCCTCACGCGAACTCTTCTGCGTCGAACGCCTTGTCTTCTTCGTCATTCCTGTGTGGAACTCTTGTGCCAAAGTTAATATTACTCGTTGGGAATTTTAGGGGAAAAAAAAAGAAGTAAGAATCGACATAAATTCATAAAGAAACATGGAGATTTAACGACAAAGATGTCTATATCCCAGAGCGACGGCTTTTCTTTCGATTCAAAAAAAAATTGCCCTGGGTTACAAACAATATATATATATATATATATATATATATATA